AATCTGTGCTTGCCAAGTCCTCAGGAAATGTCTGAATAAGTGCTGAGCGTCCATTTTACTGGGGCAGGAGGACGGTTCTGAGCAAGCAGCCTTCAGGAACCATGTACAGAATCCATCGATAGGCCAGACCTTGTTGCATGTGGTGATGAGGGCCTCCTACTCTTATGCAAAGTCAGGCAGCTGGTTTGGGATGACATGTAAGGGCAGCATGTTGTTAGCTATTTACTTCCATGGAGAGGCACTTTGGGGATTTTCTGCCTGGGGTGCCACAAATAACTTGGCCAGCTTTGGGGAAAATGTACCTTGACTTGGGAAGATTTGTACCATTTGCTTTATAATACTGCCTCAGGCAAGAAAAGAACTTGGGCCCTTGGGCCTGATTATAAAATGGGAATTAGCGATGCTGTATCTTAAACTAAGAGCATAAGAAGAGCCCTGCTGGATCAGACTAAAAGTTCTCCTTATTCAGCATCCTATTCCCTGGCCTCCAGGACTCTAACTAGGAGGGAATGAAGTCCATTGACCTTTCCTGCTGTTAAGAATGCAAGAAGAGCTTTGTTTGATCAGACCAATGGCCCACCTAGTCCAGCATCCTGTTCTTACAGTGACCAACCAGATGCCCGTGCATCTTTTCAAAAGCTTCTGCATGCTACAATTCTGCTCAAAATCCAAATCTGAATGCAGAACCACTAGTACGCTCCAACAACAAATATACTGAGGCATACCACCTCCTTTGCTGATCTGTCTTCCAGAAATATTTTAAAGATTACAGGGTGATGTGTGTAACATAGATTAGCAGCTCAAAACACCCCCCTGCTTCCTCAGGTGGAGATCTGTTAACTCAAGCCTTTTCTTGTACAACAGTGGGACTGATAATCTGTTTATTTGACAGATACAGTCATCAAAGTGATCAGGCAACCACTGAGAAAGTGCTAGTTCTCCCCCCAAGTAGCATCCATCCCCCCCCATCACGTTGTTCTTGGATCATTTCAAGGCTGCTTCTTCCCAGCCATTTGCAAAACTTAGAAGACTGGTTCCTTCCACTGCCTACATACCAAATGCCAGACTGTTTCTCTTCCACCCAAAACCAGTGGGGAGAGTTGTAAACTCGCTAAGCTACCAGCTATTAAGGCTCATTTCAGAAAGCATCTCTCAGCACTTGTGGAGGAACATCTTGATCCCTCCTAGCTAAACAAAAGCCTAGGAATGATTCTCTCTGCACTTGGCACTGTGCAATAGCACTCCTTTTTACAATGTATTTATAGCTGCTTGCATTTGAATTGGGTTGTTTTTGGATTAATTCCAGATCTGAGCTGAAGGGCCGGGCAGCTGAGAGACACCATCCCAGCTGATTAAAGTGCTGGGTGATATTGTATAGTTCAGCTTTCTCCTGAGTATGGATTTCTCCTCTTGGCTTCCCCCCCAGATTTACTGCTCTGTGTGATTTTTATATATATATATAATCCAAAATTGTCATTATTTGTTACATATGCAATGGACCTATCAATCACACCAGTGATTGGAGAGAGTGTGCAGTTCCTTTTCCTGGGGCTTGCCATGGCTCTGGAGAGACAATACCTGGAGCTGGCAGGGAAAGGGAACATATTCTCCGTAGCTTAGTCTCAGAAGCAGCTTTGAATGCCAGGTCCCAGGCTTGTAAACATGGAGTGACACAATGCCTCTAAACATCCAGATATCTGTGGTATAAAGAGTACCTCTTCTTACAGATCATGCTTGTGTGTCACCCTTTCTCTAAGAAACGAAGGGTAACATGCAAAATGCTATCCCATTTTATACTCACAACGATCTTGCGAGGCAGGTTAGACCGGCACAACAAACTTTCTTAGACCATTCAGGGCTGAGCAGGAACTGAATGAGTTCTCTGATTATTTGGCGGTGGTGTTGAATTCCACCCGCTACCCTTTGAGAAAGAACCTTCCCCCTGGCTACTGCTTTTAGAAAGCTAGATTGGACCTAATTTGAATTGAAACCAGCCTCTCTTGCCCTGTATATCACGCTGGATCTGAGGCTTTTTGTTTTTTTTGCAGAACAATCGTGCGTTGGCACACAGATGCCTCCTGTTTGTGGGTGTGTACTGTAGCTATCTATAATTCTGCCCTTTAAAGCTTCCACAGTTCAATGAGAAAGAAGTATACCCACGTTCAGCTCCAGAGAACAAAATATGACAATGGAACAAACAGGTAACTTCCTTACCTTATCACAGTTGCTAGAGTTTCCTGTGCAAAACTAGGAATTCTAGAGAGAAGGACTGGGGGAATGTGCTGCAGAGACATACAAGGAATACAAGAGTACAGATATTTCAATCCAAGTCTCGACATTGTTTTGAAGCCTATAGCAGCTATGGTTCACATAATCCCAAGCTTATTATCAAAACCATTGAGGGCTAGAAACTTGCTAAGTTTTAAGACGGTGGAGATTTTCTAGATTCTTCATATGCCAAAAGAGCCCATGTTCTGCAATTGCGCTGAATACCAATAATGGAAGCTTCATGGACTCTTGGCGGCACTCTCTGCTTCTCCCAGTTTGACCACCAGTACTGAGATGGGTGTGTTTGGGGAACCACAGCCAACCAGCATGACTTTGATTTTGGATCCACTAATTGGAGGAGCCGGGCTAAGTCAAATAATCTGAAGTCTCCCTTGGCTAAGAGCAGAGCCCAGATGCTGTATGCTGACAGCTCCCCAAAATTTCTGGAAGTTAAAGATTCGGTACCCAGCTCCCTTTGTAATCCATTCCACTTTTTGCATTCCCCCCTCCTCTTCTCCATCCCATCCACTTGCTAAAATGCTAATGTTATTAGCTGTAATTGATTGGCCTGTAGTAAGCTGTATTTCTCCTGCAAATGCAGTCTGCAGAACAGAAGGGACAGGTCCTGCCTGGGAATTTTTGGATGTCTTCCCTTCTTCCCTCAGCATGTCTTAATAGATCACACTTAGCTTAATGTTACTTCATGGGGGACTGCATTGCCTCTCTTTCCAGTGGGAAGAGGAGTCAAAGTGGCCGTGTGGGTTTGGGAAGGGCCACAGCTCACTGGTAGAGCAGCTGCTTTGCATGCAGAAGTCCCAGGCTCAGTCCCAGCATCTCAAGTAGGGCTGCGAGAGATGCCCCCTCTCTGAAACTGTGGAGTGTTGCTGCCAGGCAATTTAAACAGTATGTAGACAGGTGGAGCAATGTTCTGATTCAGTATGAAGAAGCTTCCTGTAACCTAATTCTGGGAAGGGCTATAGCTCAGATGTAGAATGCATGTTTTGCAGGGAGAAGGTCCCAGGTGCCAGATGGACCAAAATGGTCTGACTTTATGTAAGGCAGCTCCTTGAACTGCTCATCTGTCTGGATTCAGGGTAAGGGGTATCCACACTGTTGCCCTTGCCGTGACAGTAGTGATGGACAAATCTGTTGACTTTGGTTTCTTTTCTCCACTTTTCCAATCTTAAGTTCAGTTCTCCACCTTTCCACATTAGTTCACAGTAATAAATCCTCATGAAAATTCATCAGCATTTTTTTGGCGTGAATTTCTTCTAGCGGACACATTTTTGCACAGTGGTTTTGGAGAGCTGCCGATTCCCTATCTCTGATTTTCCCACTGTGGTGTGATGAGACCCTTCAATTCCAGTTTTTAAAGAGGTTTTTAAAGACAAATAAACATCTATTCCGGCTTGAGTTTACTAGATGGTTTGATGATTACTGGTTTAATAACTGCTGCTGTTGGAATTATTTTTAATCTTTTATCTGGGCTATAATGATGAGGCTTGTCTGCTGTCAGTTTGTGGCATTTTAATAATTGTTTTGCTCTTATTTTATCTATTTGCGTGTGTATGTGTGTGAGAGAGAGAGAGAGAGAAGGAGAGGGAGGGAGGGAGGGAGAGGGCTTATCTCCAAAGGCAACCTGAAAATACATAGCAAATCAATCAATGAATTAATTAATTTGAATGATTAATAATAGATGGAAATAAGTTGATAATAAACAAACAAAACACACACAGGTCCCACTATCTGAACACAATGTGTATGGAGAAAATAGTTTGTTAGGTGAGTGTTTGCATAATGAGTCCATGATTTCCATTGATTCCTATGGGGAAATTCCTAATGCGTTCCCAACCACAGAATTTTGACCCCAGAATTATAGGAACACCCTCTGAAATGTTGCAAAAGGCAAACAAGGAAGAAAAATAAATAAATCTCTTGTTTGTTCTATCTCTGCCCCTCCTTCCCACTATGGTTTCTGGCAAAACGGCTACCACGGACCAGCAAAACACAAAAAAGTGATGCTTGTTTAAGGCTGCTTATTTATTTACCGTACTACGCACACTTCCAGCTGTTTGGATAGGTGAATCTGTGGTATGTAGAGCAAGGTTTGGATACTAATTCCTCATGTTTGGATAAGTGAGTTTTTGTACAATGAGCATTTGGATAGTGGGACCTGGTGTAATTGGAACACAGCTGTCTGCTGCTACCACCACAAAGCCCATCAGTGAGAACTTTGTTGAGACCGCTCTACCCAACAACAATGATAACCTGAAGCTGGCTGGCCCTGAGAGCTCTGGCAGACCCCTGAGACGGGAAGGAACCATGACTGTTGCAGTTTTGGGTGAGGAGCAGGGTTGCCAATTTGGGTGAGGCTACAGAGTGGCAATGCCCCCTCCCCCAAAAAACGTATCACTCACAAATAAGAGGATGCAGACATGAGTTGCATATGCCCATTTTTAAGTCATGCATGCAGGTTCATTCATTCATTCATTCCATACAATGCATAGACCCAGGCCACACCCCTCACCAGACCTACTTCATTTGCTTCTTGAGTCTTTTCACTTACCTGGAACATGCCCTTGAACTCTGATAAGGCATCTTGCAGGCCCAGACTGAGAACAGAGAGAGGTATCTGTCTGTGTATAAACTAGCCGACTGTCCAAAGGTAACTTGCTGCTTCACCCACCTTTGCCTCTGGTCCTAGAAAGTTGCCCAGGAGGGAGGATTAGACAGACAGTGTGGTGTAGTGGTTAGAGTGCCAGACTAGGACCTGGGAGACCAGGGTTCAAATCCCTGCTCACTTGGTGACCTTGGGCCATTCACACTGCCTAACGTACCTCACAGGGTTGTTATGGGGATTGAACGAGAAGAGGAAGAACCGTGTCCTGTACCCTTGAGCTCCTTGGAGAAATATGTGGGATAGAAATGCAATCACTCACTCACTCACTCACTCAATCAATCAATCAATCAATCAATCAGTGTGCAGCCCTGAAAGAGACTCCCTACTCCTGGCACCAGCTCTGGCAGTCAGCCAGCAGACATGAGATGGGAAGCTGAACTCTGCAACAGCCACAGCTAAGGCTGAAGGGACGCCGCCAGCAGGCCAAGCATCAGCCGCGCTCCTCTGAAACGGCCCATTGAAGAGCTCCAGGCTTCTCGGTTGCAAGTCAATAGACCCAACACCAGCTCGTCTATTTATAAGCCTGACAAAAGGCCAGAGCGAAGCACTTGGCCGAGGGAGCTAATCCCTGACACTGTTCGCCATTGTCCACCGCCCAGTTGGCAGCTCCCTCCCCCGCGGATGCGCACGCTCCCCATTCTAGACTAGCAGCTGGGCGAAATGCTCCGCCAGAGAGGGCACTTGTAGGGCAGCAGCTGGGCTCGGGTGCCAAATGGCTCCCGCAGGCCCACGTGCTGCTGCAGCCTCGCTTCTTTTTGGAGGCGATGAGGGCTACTGGAGATTGAGGAGGCTCAGGGGAGCAGCTAGGCTAGGCCAGCCTCAGGCAGCTACCTTTGGGGGGGCACCAGCAATTGGCAAAGCTTTGGGTGCAGCCGTGGATGGGAGAGATTCCCTTCCCTACCTCCACTTCCAGCCAGCATGGTGTAGTGGTTAAGAGTGGTGGACTCGTAATCTGGGGAACCAGGTTCGCTTCCCTGCTCCTCCACATGCAGCTGCTCGGTGACCTTGGGCTAGTCACACTTCTCTGAAGTCTCTCAGCCCCACTCACCTCACAGAGTGTTTGTTGTGAGGGAGGAAGGGAAAGGAGATTGTTAGCCGCTTTGAGACTCCATAAGGGGAGTGAAAGGCAGGATATCAAGTCCAAACTCCTCCTCCTCCTCCTCCTCCTCCTCCTCCTCCTCCTCTTCTTCTTCTTCTTCTTCTTCTTCTTCTTCTTCTTCTTCCCATCTTGGCTGTAGCTCGGTACAGAGCATCTGCTCTGTACACAGAAGGTCCCGGGTTCAATCCCTGGCATCTCCAGGTAGGACTGGAAGAGAACCCTGCCTGGCATCTTGGGCAGTCACTGCCAGCCGGTTTGCACAATACTGCACAGTGTGTTTCTTTAAGAGACAGGCGTGGTATTCAGGCAGAGCATAGTCATCATGGCTAGTGGCTCTTGATAGCTCTCTTCTCCATGGATTTGTCTAAATCCTCTTTTGAAGGCACCCAAGTTGGTGGCCATCACTTCCTCCTGTGGCAGAGAATTCCACAGTTTAACTATGTGCTGCGTGTGAAGAAGGGCTTTCTTTTACCCATTCTGAATCTTCCAACATTCAGCATCACTGGTTGTGTCCCCCCTCCCCATAAACTCCTCCTTGCTATATACAAATAGAATCTGTCAAATGGGGGCGGGCATCTCAGTGGGCCGGTGAGGCTCATAGAATTGTACAGTTGGAAGGGCTTCAAATATAGACATCCAGTCCAACCCCCTGCAATGCAAGAATCACAGCTAAGGGTATAGGGCAGTGGGTTTTTGTTGTTGTTCATGCACGAAGCAAAGCATTATCAGCAAATGCCTCCTCCTGCCATGCTGATTCTCAGTCCTCCCTGGCCTCCTGGCTCACCGGAGGTTGCCACCCAGCATGCCTACTTTGAAAGTGGCCACAGTGACGCAGCTGCAAGCTTGTGAGATTCGAGACTGACTTTCCCCGCTCAACGTGCTGGAGGCTGGCCAATGGCAGCGGGCCCAGCGATTTTTTACTCTACAGATTGGCAAGGGAGGGCAAAAGTCTGCTAGCAAAGGATGTAGGAGGAGAGGAGGGCATAGATCTCTCTTAGCATGTCAGGATCATATCCGGGAACATTTCTTGCCTGCCAAGCTCCTTGTTCCCCTTGCTCGAAGGAGATCAATATTCCAGGCTTCAGCAATTTAAGAAGAGCCAAGGAGCCTGCAAGTGGGCAAGAGGATTCATAGTGAACTTTCCATGCTTTGAATCTTCCTCCTCGCCAGTCACTCCTTCTCCTCTGCCCACCCCAAAGAAATGTCTGTGGAGGTGTTGCAAGAAAACAGATTCTGACTAGACATAGTAAGAGCCATTCAACAGTGGACTGACTGCCTTGAAGCTGGTGGACTCTCTTTCATTAGATGTTTTTAGAGCTTGGGATTTAGACTATCAGGGATTCTTCAGCTGGGATTCCTGCATTGCAGCGGACTAGATGACCCTTCATGTCCCTTCCAACTCTACATTTCTGTGATTCTATTAAAAAAGACATCTGGAGGGCTCCTATAAGAACAGGGTTGGGGAACCTTTTGGGCCTGGCCGGCCAACTTAAAATTAAAATTAAAAGAATGTTTGGTGGGCAGAGAGTGAATGAACCAAAGCCTGTGTGAATGGGGTCAGGAGTTGGGTCAGGCCAGCCTGTGCCACTTTCCTTTACTGTTCAGCCTCAATGCAGCTATGCTTAAGCAGAAACACAGGTTGTTCTTGGCACCGGTGACCTCCGCTGATAAGAGCTGCCTCTGTCGAAAGAAGGCTTGTGCTTGTGTGGCAGACATGGCTGCTTGCCCTGCCCTCCTGTGCCAGCAGAGGCCTTCCTTTTGCCCCTTGCCCACAGCTGGGATGGAGAGGAGCCACATCCTCTTGTCTGGAAGGCAGAGGAGGCGGCTGAGCATCCCTCCCAACGAGGAGCTCCGTGTAGGAGAATACAGGCTCCCTTGTTTGTACAGCAGGGTCTGGGCACCTTTTTTAAGAAAAGAAAAGGAGGGAAGCAAAAGAAGCAATTAATCTGGGTCATGACATTCACCCGGAGGATCTGAAAGCCTGAGACTTGTTTCACACCAGGATCAACAAAGCTGGAGAAGTGCATTGTGTGTATCCACCTCCGCCTCCCTTCCTCCTCCCCCTTCCTCTGCTCCCTCCATTCCCCCTGCTTATTATTCTGGGCAAGTAAGGCACAGAGTACAAGATCTACATACTGCGGCACAAGGAAGTTACCCTTCAAACAGAGCATAGGTTGTGCTCAGTGACTTGCGGTCCAAAACCTGAGCATGCCACCTGTTTTTTAAAAAAAGCCAGCCTATGCTGATTTTTTCCCTTGCTCTGCACACAAGTATCCTGCAGCCGCCAGAAGTTATTTATTTATTCTGTGCTTTGGAGCTTCATTTTTTTTAAAATGCGCTTACACAAGACAGAAAAAGGGTTGCCAAATGTCGTCCCCCACATACACACCTTGGCAGGTGCTTCTTTAAAGAGCACTGCCTCATGGGTCAAAAACCAGTAGTGTGGTGGCAGGTTCAGAAGTGCAGGGTCCCTGCATGATAGCCACAGCCACACTCTCTCACAGTCACTGGCATCAATCGGTTAAAAAGGATCCTGGCTGGTAACTGATGGGGAAAGACTTGAGCCTAGCTGGCAAGAATAGACAATGCTAGGCTAGACAAAGAGTCTGATTCAGGGCGAGAATAACTTCCCCAATCTCATCCCGTGAGCTTCACAGGGATTTGAACCTGGAACTCCATCTTCATCATCCTTTTTTTTTTTTTTGTATGCCTCCTTTCTGCAGTAAACCACACTCACGGGGGGTTACAACATGAACAAAGTTACGTAGTTTACTAAGTTGCCAAATATAACAAAACTGAAACAAAGAATAAGTTAACAAGAATGTCTAATTGAGAAATGTACAATAAAATTAAGCATTCCTCTTATCAGGGAAGGCAGGGGTTTTTTGAGGCAAAACAGGACTTTGATGTTCATCTTCTCCACCCCAGGGGTAGGGAAGCCAAGTGACAAAGCCGTGAGCCGGAACATCTCTCTCTCGTCTCACTTGCCACACTTGGTGAGATGGGGAGCATTCAGCAAGGACTTGCTGTTCATTGGAACGCTCCGAGGGGGGGCGGCATTCCATCAGCAGCAGAAGCGGTGGGACAGGCGGGGTGCCGCCTCGTGCGTTTCCGTCACCTGAGGCAGCTGTTTCACCCCACATCATGGACGGGCTGGCGCTCCAATGATGAAACATCAGAAGGCAGTCCATGTCTGGACAGGCCCCAGGGTGCAACCCTTTCTGGCCCTGCCCACATCCTCCTCAAGTGTTTTAGTCCAGCTAGACTGTGCCATTGATCTGTGCTAACCGCTGTTGCTTGCATGCCTGGAGAGAGAGGGGTGTGCAGGGAACCCCTGACTTTTGCTGAGATGTCGCCTACTGCAGAAAGTTAAGAAACACGTCCTTTTTTTTGCTCCACCCACTTTCGTCTTGGGCCTTTGGTCGTGCCATCAGAAGACTTCCCTATAAGGGGGTATGTGCCTTGGGCTAAAAAGAAGAAGCTCTGCCTCTCCCGTATTAGAGTCTGCTTTCCAGGTACCTGGCCACTATATGTGTGTGTGTGTGTGTGAGAGAGAGAGAGAGAGAGAGAGAGTACACACACACACACACACACACACACACACAATCTTCCTTCTTCGCGTCCTGCATCAGAATTGCAACAAACCAACTGGGATGAGGCTGAGCAGGTGTGAAATCTGGAGAGGATGCAATGCAGGCTGCATCCCATCAGCCAGCAAGCCCCCCTTCTTCCCGCCTCCCCCCCCCCCCGCTTATCCGCCAGTCTCCGGGATGACATCACAGCTTCAAGGGGCTCCGAATTGGATTGTGTTTAATTAGCAGAGAAACGCTGCATTGCAGGATTCAAGGACTTTTGAGGGTCTCTCCAGCTCTTGGAGATTTGTCGCCGTCTTTTTTTTTTTTTTTTGTCATCAGCTGCTTGAGATAACCTACATCTGCAGTCCAGTACAACAGCTCAGGCTTCGAAGGGGGAGACATCCTGTGGCACTTTTGCCAGAGGATTTCAAAAGCCTTTATATTTCACTGCTAATTGATTTTGCATTAAAAAAAATCACAACTCCCCCCCCCCAAAAAAAACCCATACCCTTGGATGGAGCTGTGGTGAAGTTTGTTTTGCATGCATTGGTGTTTGGGGTTTGTGCATAAGCTGTGCTTTAAACTGCTAAACCACTGTAGAAATATTTCTGAGATGAGGGGAGATTAAAAATCTTCATACAGTAGAGAATTTGCACTATGCAGCCTTCCCCAGGGGTAGAGTACTTGTTCTTCACGCACAACATCCCTGGGTCAGTTGAACAGGTCAGGTAGCAGGTCATGCAAAAGACTCTCTGCCTAAGATCCTGAATAGCTGCTGCCACTCAGAGAATGACAAATTGCCCAACCTGATCTAAAGCTTCTTCCTGTGCTTTGGTCCTATATTTAAATTCACGAGACCCTTACGGAGAAGGAGGGGCAGCCAGGTACACTTGCCCTGGGTCTCGGTGGGCGAAACTGGCCAGGGGCCCCCACCAAGGACCAACCAGGTTTTCCTTGTTTGAGTTTATAACAGGCATAGGCAAACTCGGCCCTCCAGATGTTTTGGGACTACAACTCCCATCATCCCTAGCTAACAGGACCAGTGGTCAGGGATGATGGGAGTTGTAGTCCCAAAACATCTGGAGGGCCTATGCCTGGTTTATAACTTTATAACATCTGCCTATGCCTGGTTTATAACTTTATTCCAACAATACTCCCACCCCAGGCCTCAGGCAAGCTCTGCACGAGCCTGAAATCCACTAAGGCATGGAACAGGGGACCTGTGGCCCTCTAGATGTTGTTGTTGGACTTCAGCTCCCATCATCCCTGTCCATTGGCCCTGTTGGTTGGGGCTGATGGGAGATGGAGTCCAACAACAGCTGGAAAGTCTCAGATTTCCCACCACTGATTTATGAGAGAGAGCAAATATAATAATTTTATTATTTACATGCCGCCCATCTGACTGGGTTGCCCCAGCCACTCTGGGCGGCTTCCAGCAAAATATAAAAACACAATAAAACATCAAACATCAAAAACTTCCCTATACAGGGCTGCCTTCAGATGTCTTCTATGGGAGGGCATTCCACAGCGCGGGCACCACCACCGAGAAGGGCCTCTTCCTGGTTCCTGGTAACTTCACTTCTTGCAGTGAGGGAGCCGCCAGAAGGCCCTTGGAGTTGGACCTCAGTGTCT